CTGCCCGCTCCTGTATGCCTTGCCCCCTTGGAGATAAACAGAGAAGCTTGGAATGAACAAAGAGGCCGAAAATCAGACCAATCCGTGACGTTACTTCCAGTGCTGCTCCACCAGTCTTGCGATTTCTCCGTGTTCTGGGCACTCGGTAGGGCACGGCAGGACTCCTCCTTTCCGCGACAATGGGCCAGCGAGAAGATTCATTCATTGGACAACAGTCTTTGCTCTTAGAATGGAAACGATATGTACCAGAACAAGACCAACCAATCCTTGGGGAAGGTTCTGAAACCTCTAGCCTCGTGACGTTCATCGAAAGGTTTCCTAATGCGTATGCTTTTGCCCCCGCCAGCTTGCAGCATGATGACAGGTCGGCAGCCACGGAGGCATATGCCATAGCTGGGTTGGCCTAAGGTCAATACGAAGGACTTGAGGCTTGGGGGTTTGTGGCCTTAGGCTTGGAAATTCGGGTTGTGGGGCTGTTCGCGAGGGAGGAGGCTAGGCTAGCCCAAGGCCAAGTTTGGCGGCATCCTCCGGCGTGACATGTTCTGAACAAAGGGAGGCAGTGGGTCTTTAGAAATACATATTATACATACATCGAAGCCGGGTTCCTTCTGGAGGTCCCTGTTGCGGTGGTGTGGTTTATCAGGGCTGTCATAGAATCGGCTTCGATTTAATTCGACTCCGCGTTTTCGCATCACCGGAAAGACAGCCTAACAGAATCCCTCTGCTCACGATTGATGCACGATTGGTAAAAGGAAGGTCTCATAAGGGGTAGGAAGATGCCATTACTGAAGCCACACTGCCCTCGCCGTAGAAAACCCATGCAAATCACCTTCTGTTTCTCGGCCCGCGAAGAGCAACACGTATACACTTCGAATTGTTGGGCGACAATGGCCTCCGTCCGCATGATGGGATACAAGTTACTGTTTATGCTTTCGTCGGATCAGTAACTTATTTCTTTGGCAACCCCTGTGCTCGATCGCATGTCGACCTGTCTGGAGCAGGATTGACTAAAGGCTCGTATGCACACAGGCTCAATGCGAATCGGAGCCACGACCGGACGCGCACATCCTGTTCTGCACTTCCTTCGGACACACAGCAGACTGGTCTAGCAGGGCCCGGTAGCAACGGCTTAGTCATTAAGGGCGGTGACGTCGCTGAACGGACATGGAACCCGGCCATTAGCTCATGCTCAGGATGCGACCCGCTGTTGGACTTGTACGCAGGCTGCACGCACCTAGCTGGGGGCTGGCCAGGAGGTGGTACAGGGCAAAGGCTTAATTTCAGACACTAGCGTAGCTCTGCGACAGTTCTAGACATATTGAGCAGAGTCTTAGTGGACAGTCGCAAGATGAGGGCGGATCAGTGGAAACCTGTTCCAAACAGACATCTTTCTGAATTAAACACGATGTTTGTCGTCTTTCTGGTCAGTGCTCGTCGACACGTTTCTCGGTGCCTTCCTCCTTGTAGCCATCTAGTCCGCAATCCCTTCGTCGGCTTTGTAACACCATAGAGCCATAGATAGCCATGGCGAGCCGCGCGATACGCGCCAGCAGCAAAGGGGATTGATACTGTTCCAGCAACGCAAGAAGTTCCGTCATGTTCTCAGCCGGTGAAACACAGCTTCTGCCGGCTCGCCTCATTCCCTGTTTCGAAACGTCTCTCCCTCTGATCGGCGTTGTGTCCGTTGGTTGCTATCGTTATGGGGCCTCCGATGCTGGGGTTTGCAAGTAGAGATGTTAAGTTCCGAGATGAGTAGAAAGATTGAACCCCACGACACCTCATGCCATAAGGCCCAAAAGTCCTTCTGTCCGCGGGAAACCGGCGAAACTCTCTGAATGGAAGGCTGTTGACTTTCGGGTTGGCCAGTAGTGATTGCGTGTTGGGGATGGAGAGTCTAAGGTCTAGGTCTAGCTTCAAAGTGTTGACTTACGGTTTTAGCGGTTATCTGGCGCCGTTGAAGAAATCTCAGGAGAATGAAAAGCACTCCTTGGGGAATCTTCCCGCGCTGCGGTGGGCTTGAATAGTTTGTGTTTGTGATTGTGTGGATGTTAGTTCCCTCACTTGAGGCCCCATACTCAGAGGCCAATCTCAGTCTGCTCCCCATCAGTAGTGCAAGCGCAAACGTACAACGTACACACTTGGGATTGCGACCGTGTGCACAACGCATGGTCGGCGAGCTGCATCAAGACCGGCCACAAATCGAGATGTCAAAACTTCAACCAGGCTATATGCTAATGGCTACTGTGCTCAGGACCAGCGGACCCTGTCCAAAGGCTCATGGGAGGTGCCATGTTGCCAGAATCAGTCTGTCGGCAAAATGAACTGTCACTTGTAACACATAGTTCGGATCGATATTCGGATCCCGACGCGTCCTAGGTTCTCGGGTGTTTTGAAGGATGAAAATCTGCTAAGTTCTACGGTTCTGAATAAGAAGTAAGAAGGTGCAAGACGGCGGTTTCGCGGTCGCGTGCGTTCGCTGGAAAACATGTCATGGTTTCTTCTAGGTGCTTTGTGGCCCTATGGACAAAAACTCGATTGCAGCGCCGAGGTTTACCAGAAAACAATGTAACGCGTCAAGCGGAAGACTTCAACGGAGCTTGCAAGTTCTTGGGCCAAGTCATTGCAAACCCCCCCTCTATGTCGCAGCTTAAGCTTATGACCTTAAGACAGTCGGTTCCATCCAAGGGGAAGCCTGTTTGATTGATACCATAGAATCTCAAGGCCATCCCAAAGGCGACTTGGGTAGGAAGCATCGGGAAATCCGCAGCACATCCAGCGTGCATGTAGCCGTGTCTCAAAATCAGGTCATCGGATGTAGTGGTTTTTGGACTTCATTGTTTAGGGGCTGGGACGTAGAATTTTGGGAGTGTAGGAGGGCTTAGGATTGCAATTTGTTTGATCTCCGATTTCTGAGACAAGGCTTCTCTTGCCGCAAATCCTGGCTATGACAGAGGCAAACAGAAGGGCACCTGTATGGTCTGAGGCTTGGGGCTTAGTTAAGGTTAGAGATGGTGAAGGCTTCAAGCCTTCCCAAAGGGATAGCCGCGAGTGGCCGCCTTTGGTTTCGGCTTCCTTCTTAAACGATGAGGTGGTATGTAGGAGAGGAGTTCTCCCCAAGTCCCACTCCCCCGACCCGAAAGGGCTCCTTCTGTGACCCCGGACGTTTCCCTCCGCCCTGGCTTCCTCGGCGTTGGATTTGGAGAGCCTCGGCGCAATCATCTGGCCGTTTTGTCGGGTTGTGGCTATTCTGGGTTTGAGCACTCTGCCTCTTCGCGGCCGTCCCACATCGTCGCAATTTATAGTAGTGACAATTCAAGTCTTGTACGAGTTAGGATATCTGTTTAGCGTGTGTCTTCCCTGGTGCGTGTGGTTTGGAATTGGGATCTCCGATGCTTGGTTCGATGCCCGAGCTAAGGGGCTTGGCGAAATATCATATCATATCATGTACCGCATTCTTAAAGTATTTTAAAGTGTGTTATGTTATCGTTACACTGTTTTAGCTTCTGTTACATGGCTAGATGGCTGGCATGTGCTCATGCACTGGCGATGTTGGGATCTGTCCAAGTCCACTCAAAGTCCTTTCAGAATAATGCCCTCTCAGGATATTGCTGTGGGGTCCAGGGCTTGGTAGGGTTCGTGCAGGACGCAATCGTAAGACGCCGTTGATGACTTGATCCCCTGACTCTTGATTCCCAGTGCGCCCAGGAGCCACATCACGTCTGCAGCAAAAAGACCAATGGAGCATGCGGCGCTTTGCCCACGGAGCACAGGGATTGGGCTGTGTCTTCTTGTGGTCGTGAGGGGGAGGAGACCAAGAGGAGTGGTGGTTGAAGGTGTATCGGTCAGATCTACGACGCTACGATTGAAGTTGTATTTTCTTCCCGAGTCAAAGCTGCAACATAGGTAAGGTGCCAATCCTTCTCCTCATCATCAGTATTCTCTGTCGTTGCTGCTGTTGTTCTCGTCATTGTCGTTTCGCTTGTGTTCGTGGTGTTGGTGGTCTTTGTTGTGCTTGATCATTGTGAGCTTTATGTGGCTCATCGTGCCGTCGCTCCTACTACTCCGCTACGTTCTGCATCTTTTCAATGTAGTTCCTCCGACCTTGCCATGTTGTACTCAACCCGAATCCCTCATCACGCAAGGTGCCATCGACAGCTCAGGCAAGATAGGTAAGACGGTCAACATTGGAGGTCTGGTCAATTTCCATGTAACCGCAAATCATGCGTCGTCCTTATATGATTCATGTACCACAGAACCCTACTCACATCATCTGCTAGGCAAGGCTATTAACTTCCTGCTTCCGGTTCCTTCCTAAGCCATCATCCCAGGACCTCTCCAGCAAGACTGCTTGCATTTGTAAGGTTTGCATTTTGCGCAATTTTCCGTCACATTAGAGGTTCGGGGTGTAGGATGGAGGGCCGAGGGAACTGGGGCTAGTAGCCTATCCTCGTCGGCCTAGGCAGCCTTGCCATGCAAGCACGAGGCACCAATGTACGGAAGCCTGAACTGAAGAGATGATGGATGGCAGTGTCTTTTTTTTAATGCTTAGTCGCGTTGCTTGTCCATTCTGAACCTTCTGCGCGCCCGGCCGAATGCTGCCACGTGGCTCTCCCCAGTCTGGCAGATTGGTTTTGGAAAGGTGGCCGTGAGCCAGGCAGGGGGCTAAGCTTCCGGCCACAGACATTAGACCCAACAGGAAAGGAACAGTACTCAACATGCCGGCCTCACCCCATCAGTTTTCGGGCACGGCTGCTGAAAGTATACACGCTCAGGGGAAAGCAGTCCGCACAGAGTCAAAAGCAGCCCAAGAGAAAGGCATTGAACGTCGCACCTTCCGGGTCATCGGGGTCGGGCTGCACCAAAATGTGAATGCACCCTGAAAACCGTAGTGCTAAAAGCCCGCTAAGCCCTGAAGCCCAAACCTCCGAAGAATTTCAGAGAAGTTTTTTTAACCTCCCCAAACCCAACCTCCCGGGCCAAGGCGGGGCTTCTGGCTCGCCATGAGCTACTCGATGTATCAGCAGCCCGCGTTCCCACAGCTCTACCAGCAGTCCACGGCCGGGGCCAGTAGTCTGGCATTGAGGGTCTTGGCCAGGGGTCTGAGTTCTGAATCTAAAGCATCTTACCTGTGCTCGTATCGGAGGATCGCAGGACAGGTCGCAGCACGAGATAGCAGTGCAGTTTGTCGTCAAGCTTCGGCACATGCTCGGAGGCGCAAACATCTCAGCCGCAGCAGACCCAATCGCAGCCACAGCAGCCTGGCTGCCATGGAGATGTTTCAGTGGTCACCAGCCGACATGCCTGATGGGTGTTTCCGTTATGGAGGGGCCCGAGAGTCAGCCTGTAAGTCTGCAGGTGGAATCCACAACATAGAAGGGAAGGTGTAAGCCAGTGAAAGCAATTTGTCAGGTTGTCCATGCAGTTCTTGGGCTGCTCGGAGATTTGCAAACCTTGCTAGTGCATGTTCTAGACAGCAGCTGTGCGACGAACACGCAACTTTGCAACCCAACCACGTGTTTTGTTCGAACAACCACCGCCAGGACCATCAGTAGACTTCCTGCATCCACCGCATGTCAGGCAGCAGACTTCCAGCTATCCGGGCATCCTGTTTGCACTTGCTGGGTGAGGTGGGTCATATAAATGTCGACATAAGTCGATAGCAATGCTGCCTTTTCGACCCTAAACCCTTGGAAGTGAGTCCGGTCACAAAGTGTGCTAAGTCGAAAGCCTTAAACTTTTTGTATGTGGTCGATGGTCTAAAGTCTTCCACTGGGCTAATCTACTCTCTTGGGTCCTGTGACTAGCCTTGGACGGGTTTCGCGACAGCGGATGCCTCCAGACATCGTCCTGGAGGAGACAAGCTACCTGGGGGCCCTTCGCATTCGGGGTTGGAGTTGATTCGCACAACAGGCTTTGCAGAATCAAGCCGGAAGTCGAAACTCCGTGGTTTAGCGGGATCGTCTAGAGCTTGAGACTCTCCTCTCCCAGAAGCTGGAAAGCTGTATGCCTAAACAGGAACCTGAAAGCCCTCAAACCCAAGGCTACGCTGCTCCGCAGCAAGCTGCATCAACACCAACTCCGCAGGCGAAGCCGTTGAAGGATCAGGGCAGTGGCTGTTCAGACTGTCGCAGAGCCAACCCTTGCCGGAGGATAGGGGGTCGTTGCATTGAGTGTGGATGAGTCATGTACTTGCGTAGATCCACCGGCCATAAAGCAAGACGGGCCGCAGCCACTTACGAATCTCAGACATGCCGCAGCCTTACTTAACCCTAAGCCGCAGCTCTCCCGTAAACTACCAGCAGCCGCAACTCACCGAAACCTCGGGAAACTTCAACACCTACGAAAAACTGGCCGAGTCCGACGCTCCGAAAGCCTCTCACGAAGCCCCGCCGCATCGAGGCGCATTCTGCACCGGGACCAGGTCAGGGTCAAGTCGTGCAGGTGCCGCCGCGCGAGGACTGCGCATGTCCATAGTCATGGCCGTCACCATCAGAGCGGGGGGAATCAGTGGCAAGAAGAACAGTATGGGAAGCCATCGTTTGTGAAGAATGAGGAACAACTCGTATGCAGAATAATGCCCAGAATGACACCACGAGAATCTTGATGATGTTGAGAACGGCGATGGTGAGAATGTGCAGTGTAGGAAAAAAGTTCAATCAGTAGAACCGACGATGATCACGACTCGGATCATGAAAGAATCATGCGAAGCCGCGCACAGGCGAGGCCTGTAGTTTACGAATTCAGGAAGGTGGTGTTTCTGCGGCTTTCGAAGAATGCCTCACCTCCGAAGTCATTACTGCCCTTGGTTGCCTTGTTTAAAGATGATCGAAGTGAGTGCAACAAGCCAAGAAAGAGACGGCTGGCAAACTGTTCGCAGGAGGCAGTGGGCAACGTCGCTCACATTGCAGTTACCGGCTGCACACACAGTACGGTCGGCGGGATCGTGCGAGGGAATTTTACAGCAAACGGGCAGAACCATGGCAGGCCGACTTACAAGAAAGATACGCAGGTCAACGGTTTAGACGTTCAGTTGTACTACTGGGATGACCGGGATGGCCCAAACTTCTGTGGATGGTGGTTCGGTCCCAAGGTAGGTGGTGACCAGGTGTGGGCGTACCACCCAAGCAGCTCGGCAGGCACCCCGCCTCGCACAGGCTGGAAGGTGCCTTACGACGGACCTCCAGACCCCACCTTTGTCATCACTCCGTCGCAGCCACCCAGCCAGGCTGCCCAGGCAGGCGCTACACAGGCACCCGGTCAGGCCCAAGCGGCCCAAACCCAGGCACAAGCCCAGGCGAACCCTCAGGCATCTCAGCAGCAGGCAGCCCAGGCGCTCCAGCAGCAGTATGCGGCCTACACACAGCAGCTGCAGCAACAGCAGGCAGCGTATATGCAGCATTATGCACAGCACCCAGGTGTCTCAATAGTATACGTTTTCGATTTTCACAATTTCTTGTAACTGCGAGCCAAGCCTTGAATTTGCGTTGCGTTGCGTTCCTTGGCCTTCCAGCCCAGGCAAGCCGAGCAGCTCAAGCAGCAGCAGGAACAGATGCAGCAGCAGATGCTTGCTGCACAGCAGAAAGCCATGGCCATGGCAGCCATGAAAAGTGCCTTCGTCTCATGTTTGTAGGGCTTGTACCTGGAGAATATCCTGCACCCCCAGTCGCCGAGATCCAGGTTTTGCGACAAAGTAGGTGTGGAATGTCGGAAATCCTCTCAGAGCGCAGTCTTTCAGCCATGCCATGGTGCGAACAAGGCAAGCAGGAAGAGATGAAAGCGAAGCAGCAGGCTGAGATGAAACGAAAGGCCGAGGAGCACCAGAGGACACCCCCCGGGCCCCTGCACCCCTCAGGCCTTAGGATGGTAGTTGGGGGTTAGCGGTTGTCTTTGCCAACAACATTCCTGAAGAGTTGCTTGTCTTCGGGGGGAGGTTGTGGGAAGTCGCTCATTGAGGGTCGGCTTGAACAGGTGTGTCTTGACCTTCCTCGCTACTCCGCTACTACAAGTCGTACGTCCCTGTGCATGTCGCAGGATTATGGAAGAGCGGAAGAAGCAGGCTGACGAGCAGCGAGCAGCGATGAAGATCCGCCAGTACATGCAGAAGGCGTGCACCCAGTTCGAAATGTGATTGCCGAAAGGCAGAACATCGCCAAGCCGAAAAGAACATCCCACGAGACCGTATGCCACGTATCCAGAAGCCCTTAACTCCAGGATGGTAAGACTCTGTCGTCGAGAACCTATCACATCCCGTCCGGTCTCTGAGCCGTCCGCTTCCGCAAGGCAAGCCCCCCCCCCCCACACAAACCTAGAGCCTCGACATCGCCACAGTCATTTCTATGTAACGTTATCAAGGGTGTCGACGTTGCGCGTAGTAGCGTTTGATGATCACGATCCGGGGCAACACTTACATTCGTATTCATGCTTGCGAGAAGTGTGTTTGTTGGGTTACTGTCTGCTGTGCCATAATGTTAGATACGAGCTTGGGGTTTCTGCGTCAACGGTTTCTGGATTACATTGGTTGTGGCGCAGGGCTTCCTTTTTGCAGGAAGGGTTCCATCATTCAGTTTAATACTTTCGGGGTTCTGGGTCGTGTCGATAAACAGCTTGCCACCCTGTGCAACTTGCAAGGGTGGACAGGCACACCACAGAGCTCTGTTCGGGGGTTTTGGGTTAAGGTTCCCACAGGGCTCGGGATTTTTGGATTTTTTGTGAGTTACCACTGGTCATCTGTGTTCGCACAGACAGGCACAGACACAGACAGACACACACACACACATACATACAGAGTCTGAGTGTGTATGCTGGAAGAGAGGGCCAAGCCATGAACTGCAACTCCTTGCATTCGTTCACGATTCGAGGCCCCCTGAAACCCTTCACCCTGGACCCTCTGAAAGCATGGCCTTACAGATGGGCTTGGAGGTGCGACTCTCGACAGAAGAGAACCTGGCCCAGCACCACCAGGATGGGAAAGTTTGCGTGGAAGCGAAGTTCGGAAGCGCTACCACAGAATGCACAGCGCCTTAGACCCGACACAAGAGCAGGCACCTATACCGCTAAACGCGGATCTGAGCTTTACGCCCGCCATGGCTTCTGCAGATGTGGTTCCCCTCATTGATAGAGTGTAATCGTCCTGCCTCAACTTCGGTGCTTTACTCGCTGAGTCTATGGGTTTGGCTTTGGTGTTACGAGGGTCATTCTTGGGTTTCGGAGGGAGGCTGAGGTAGTCACACAAGCGATGCAGCATGTGTATGCGAGGGGCGCAGACGAGTAGTTTAGTGTATGTGTTTGGTTTGTTTTGTTCTTGATGCCCCCCGCCAAGTTCGTGTCACATTTCACCACTAGTTGGACCAGTCTTCGCGAAGTCTTGCCTGCCTGGCGCGAGTGTGAGAGTCGAAACCAGGAGCTAGCTGATGTCATGAAGGAAGAGCTGATCAAGTGTGGCACGGGCGCGCCGAAGGCGAGCTCGAGTAAAGAGGTTTAGGTCCAAGGTTGGTGATTTTGGGTCTTTGGGGACTGGGGTTGGAAGCTTCGCACAACATGTCGGCCTGCAAGATAACTTCACAGCGGGCTATGGCGGCTATGACTTCGGGGTACAATTTAGCGCGGCCGCGTTGAAGTTCAGCTCAGCTCTTGATTCCTAGACCACCCCAATGCAAGCCGACACAAAGTCTACGTCTCAAATCATGATGGCTACGACGGCTACGCTTGTGGACCAGACTACCTGCTTGAAGTGATGCCTGACGTTGGAAGCTGAAGTACTGAATTGAAGAAATTATTGCTGAGCATGTTTTCAAGCATGCTGAAATTGGAAATTAATTAGTAACTCAGAGCCGTGATGTACCTGCCTGCTTTGCTTGAATCCAGGGGTAAGGCGTCGTACAGCGAAATGGGCTGGAGCATCGTGGTCAAGTCCTCTCTACTTGCGTGGATTGGAGTAGTGTGAGCTCTGTTATGCTTGTGGATTGCTTGAGTTAGGGGGGCAGTCGAAATTGAGATGCCTTAAAGCGCTGATGTCTGAGATAGACTTTGGACTCTTTTGACATAAGTGGTGTATAGTCTTGGCTTGGTGTCAGCAATTGCCTCCAAGCCGGGCAGTCGAAGCGCTCTTTTCTAAGAAAGCCAGACGCTGTAGCCAATGAGGCGAACACGCCGCTATCTGTTGTTCTCCCTGACTAAATAAAGCCTGCAATGCTGGCTCGACAGAGCAAGGTGGAAGGCAAAAAGCGCCGAACCCTCGCACACCCAATCGCGAACACAGAGTATCACTACTGCATGTGGGCCTACGGCAGTGTGTCTTGGGAGAGCAAGCCGTGCCAGCAGTGCCGAGCGGGGCCCTAAGGTTGAGGTTAAACTTCAAACAGAAGCCTAACACCCTCACCCCAGGCCCCAAACCCACAGTTGAGGCTTTAGGAAGCATCCTGGGACACCAAGTCCGCAGTGCACAGGTCAAGGAGGAGTGCGATCAGGCGGTCGAGCAAGCGAAAACACGAATCCAGGCTTGGGACCCGGCTCTTCGTGAGTTCGGTTGAGGACTCTTGGGCCTTTGCGGTGTGCTGGATGACCTGAGGCTGCGAGAGACAGACTGAGAGAGAGGCAAAGACCGAGACGGAGGGTTTCAATTGAGCCTTTGAGCTTCCTGTCACAGCGTTTTCTCCTGGAAGCTTTAACGCCTCTTCCCAAAGGGGGCAGCTGCTGCTCTTTGCAATAGCACCCCGAACAAGAATAATTAGCCTACAACGAGAGAGTCCATACTTGGAGCGTTGGCCACAGGATGTAGCCTCGAACCCGACAGTCGCGGGAAGTTGTTTGACAGACGTCTGTGGTCCGCTCCGCAAACTGGGACGCCTTTGCCCGAAAGTTCAACGAATCGATTTAACATTTTCTGAGACTTTGGGTGTAAGACCCAAGTGCCCTAGAAGACTCGCAGGAATTGTCCGAGTTGCGAGAGTTCAGGCACCCTAAGAAATCAAGCGCAGGCCATGAAGGAGGCCAAGAGGCGGGAGGACGAGCGCCCGCTGCTGAGCATCGGAGTTTGGGATACGGGTTAGGGATTCGGGCTTCTGATCTAGGTGCTGGATACCATCACCACCATCACACCATCGCCATCACCATCATTATCACCATCATCATCATTCGTATAGCGGCTCTTCCTCTGGACATTTCAGTAGAATTCGATACACGACTGTTACAGTCGTTATTTCTTTTGCTGTCACATTTTTGTTATTGGCTTTTGGTGTTTGTTACTTCGTTTTTGGCTTTCAACGGAATGTTCTCATCATCACATCATCACATGAGTTCTGGGGCAGCAATGGCTTTGGTGACTTTTCCTGCAGGTCGCGAACTGTGGCCGACCATTGTGCTCAATTCTTCGTCTGCAGGTTTTGTCAAGAGTTTAGCTTTAGCTGTCATTGCTGATCCCGTAGATACCCAGCAAGAGCTAGTTGATAGTAGCCTAAAAGCCCATGATGAAGCCAGTCTTGACAAGGCTTGGAGCGAGCCATTGTATTCTGAGATCCCAGAGTTTGGTTTTGGCGCCAGGGCATTTCAGGCTCAGCCTCACGCCGCCATGCGCGTTGCAGCGGGAACGAGGCTTTCTGCCCTAGGCCTAGCACGGCACCGTTTTCAGCTGCCACAGATCTTGGCCCGTCCGCCCAGCACGAGCTTCCGCCGAAGCGTGTCAGTGAGGCTTAGCCGAAACTGGGAATGCGGCTTGTACATCTTGGGTTATGACGGTTAAGAGTGGCTACCCTTCTTGCTTGCAAGCCTGCAGCAAACAAAGTTTTCAGTTTGATGCAGTAATTAATGTAGTGGCACGAAACGAGAAGCAGTGATATGAAGGGCAAGTAAGGAGTTCGTTGACCGGGAACAGCACAGTCAGCGCGGAAAAGCCTCGTCACAGCGTCACGGCCCCACGGCTGCACGTAGGCGTCGTGGTGGTGCCCCAGCAAATCGCCTGGGTGGTCGAGCGCCTGGGGCGATTTCACAAAATCCTCGATCCGGGACTCCATTTCCTGGTGCCGGTGGCGGATCGAATCGCCTATGCCCATTCCCTCAAAGAGGAGGCGATTCCCATCCCCAACCAGCAGGCAATCACAAAGGACCCGAAGAGAGTGACAGGCAAGCATGAGTGTGGCCCACCGGCAATCCCGACACGGCATTGATGCTAGATGTTCTTCAAACCTTCTTCCGAATACATCGGCATGGCCCATCCAAAACACAGCAGTTGTTAGGGGTTTAGCTTGAAGTAGATGATGTAGAATCTGCTTCGTCCTTTGTCCTGCAACCAGCACGGACAATAGCCAACTGATCGAGATCATGGCAAAGGTATTCAGGACTTTTCAATGATCATCATAACTGTCATCGTCGTCGTCAAGGTCAAAACGTACACCATTTCTGGCATGGATGCCAAAGACTCTAGTCATAGAAAATAGACGCCACGCGACAGCACACAAGACTTCTGCGACATAGAAAGAATCAGACGTGCCTCGATGATGACGACTTTAGCATATTTTCGCAGTGAAATCAAAATGCGAGAACATTTTCGAGAGGAGACTCCGATGTTTCTTGCTGTCCTCGTCCTAGACAGGACAACGTCACCATCAGCATCGACGGGGTCTTATACCTCAAGGTCGTAGATGCCTACCAGGCCACTTCCAGAAGGGTTAAGGAGTGAATCAGAGCGCTCGGAAACCAGACACTACACCTGTTCCCAACGTGAAAGCCTTGATAAGAACAATCCGAGTGCAGTGAATGTGAATCAAGGTGATGGCAGTGGTAATCGTCAGATTCATGAGACTCTGGGTGTGTGGCGGCGCTAGTGCTTCTTGTTGTCTTGCAGGTTGTAAGTTGGCAATTGACAGCAAGCCTGACAACGGCCATTGCCTTCACAGCAGCAATACATAAAGCGGCCCGGAAATCAGAGCAGTTCCACCTGCGCTCTCAGCAACACCAGCTAAAGTCGCTGTCTATAACCGCACCAAGTGGTCGTAGAGCTGTCCCGAGCAGCCCTGTAGACATGTACCGAAGCCCTAAGTATCGTCGCTGCACGAGATACCTCCTATGTTATTTTCGTGAGCTGGCGGATTATTTCAGGGCTATCGCCCCAAACCCTACACGGCCTTACACCCAGAGGCTTCCTATGGCGTGCATGACCCGACCTTTGCGGTGACGCAGCTCGCGCAGACCTCCATGCGCTCAGAGATTGGCAAGATGACACTGGATCGTACCTTCGAAGAGCCTTCGGCATGCAGGCGTCCAACAGTTAGGTCTCATTGCGGTCCAAATTGCGGTGTCTGTGAACTCGTGCGGTGGGCTCTGTGGCCGATGCCCCAAATTCCATTCACTTCTTGAGGAGTGCCAGTCTCTTTCTTGAGCTTTCCCATTCCTAAGGAGCGGGACGCCATGAACCACGCCATCGTGCAGGCCGTGAATGCTGCCGCACATTCCTGGGGTATTGAGGTGCTCCGCTACGAAATCCGTGACATCATTCCGCCGACATCCATCAAGCAGGCCTTCGTCCTGACTGGAAACCAAGATTAAGAGGTTCAGGTTCGGGGAAGGGCACCTGCAGTTTGGTGGCTTTTTAAAGGGAACCCCCGTCTGGGAATTTGCCGTGTGCTCGCCTGGTCTAAGTCTAAGAGGAACTAGTCTCGGTTGTAGCCCGAGTTTTGCGCCTCCGCACAAGGGAACCCTACTTCCTGAACCGATGACGCTTGCCATGAGCCTTTAGTTGCTGGTGCTCCTGCCAATGTCGGTCTCAAGAAGATCTCAAGAAGATGCTTCTGATGATGGGAAGTGCTGAACTCTGTGACGCACTAGAGAAACTGAGTCATAGTAGTTGCTACCCTTGTCTTTATTGGGATGGCAGCCAACTGCTCATCAGGCGATGGAGATGGAGGCAGAAGCGGAGCGCCGACGAAGGGCCGAAGTGCTCCAGAGCGAGGGCGACCGCCAGAGTGAGGCATCTCTGGTTGGGGAGTTGGGGAGAGGAAGGGCAGAGCACCTCCCCCTCCCCCAACACATATTGTGTATACACGCATGTCACGCACACACACACACACGTCCATGTACATATATATATATATATATTTGTATATATAGATATTTTATACACATGTATATATATATATACATATGTGTATACATGTATGTATGTATATATATATAGAGAGGTAGATACTCTTGACACCTGCCATGCAGTGTCTGCGGATGTTGCCAAGCGGGAGCCAAAATATAGAGAGGTATGTATGTCTGTATGCATGTGTGCATGTATGCATGTATGCATGTATGCGTGTATGTGCGTAGGTATGTGTATGTATGTGTATGTTTGTGTACGTATGTATATGTATGTACAGGTGTGTATATGTGTGTATGCAAATGTATATGTAGTATATGTATATGTATATGTATATGTATATGTATATGTATATGTATATGTATATGTATATGTATATGGATGTATATGCATGTGTCTGTTCTGTCTGTCTGTCTGTCTGTATGTATGTATGTATGTATGTATGTATGTATGTAGGTAGGCATGTATGTATTTATAGCAACGTGTAGATCAGGACCTCTATCAATTGCAGGTGAATTTGGCGGAGGGGAAGATGCAGGCGGCCATGCGCCAGGCCCGAGGTGATGCAGAAGCAATTCGGGAGCGCGCCAAGGACCGGGTTCGGGTGATCTTGGGTGCTGGTTGGGAGCTTCGGAGCTTGAGCAGTTCTTGTTGGTTCTAGGACGGAACTTCCAAGTCCATGGAAAGCTCCGGCTTGAGCTCCCCGAGGGCAGGCTTAGGGCTTGCGGCAAACGTACGACGTAGGGTAAAGCTTCTTGATCCCCCAGGCCACTGCAGAGGGCATCCGGATGATCAGCTCCGCTATCGCGGAATCCAGGCCACTGGGTGCCTTTTAAGAAGTTTTCGGAGTGCGCATTGGACGCGGGCTCTGATATTAGTCATTAGTCCATGCATTGTGGAGATTTGGACAGTTCTTGCACTCGGCCTCAGCGAAAGCAGCGAAAGCTTCTCCAGTTATTTTTGGTGTGGTCTTTCAAAAGTCCATGCTGAAAAGGAAGGGAGAGCAAGCTGCTTCGCTCCGTGTCGCTGAGCAGTGGGTATCTGCTTGGAAAGAGATGGCCAAGAAGTCCAACACCCTCATCGCACCTTGGGTATACTACCTGGGGGAGGGTGTTGTTGCAAGGCGTACTTCGAGGTTCCAGGGAATTACTCAGGGTAACTACGGCAACCGCAACTTACAAACTAAGCAGCTCAGCTTATGGTCCTGGTTCAGCACCACTCGAGAAACATGTGCCGAAAATCAATTGGCCTCTCGAAGCTATGCTAGCTGAACTTGGAGCTACCCATGAAGCTGCAAATATACGGGGTTTGAGGCTGAAATCACCATGGTGTTTTTGGTACTTTGACTCCGAGTGGGGTCTGGGTCCCTGGGTGGGTGTAGCGTGTCGTGCAGGGAATGACATCTCTCAGCTGTCGCATGCTGGATTTGTGGAGGTAGCCATCACGCTGGATTCCTTGCTTTAGCCGTTCAGTTGGTAAGCTTTCTGCAGATGAACAGGGCTTCTCTTCCGAACCCCTGTCTAGAAGCAAGCTTACTCACCTTTGGCATGTGAAGCAAGGTGCCTGCGAATGCCGGCGATGCCTCTGGCATGATCGCCACGGCCACTAGCATCATGAAGCAGTTAGGACCGCTTGGCGAGGACTCGCCAGCTGTTACCGATATTCCCCCTGCAGATGGCTCCAAAAGCACCTTCGGAAACGAGTACGTTGAGGGTGGTGACGGTGCCAAGCAGGACTGAACAGACATCTTGCGAAGGCGCAGGGAAAACAGCAGATCCGTCGTGCACTGCAAGGGATGGTTAGGGTCCATGCAAGGAGATGAAGCCGCCTTACTTGATTTCTCAGCGATCTTCTGAGCTCAAAAGTGTAGTTGCGAGGTTGGCGTGCAGGAGCGCTAGAATGGACAGAGAACTATTGTAGAAGACAGCTGGCTTTGCTTGAAGTTCATAGCAGAGATAACGACTGAGAAGGAAGAATTGATGCAAACTGTTGCCAAGGGGGTAGGGTGGTCGATAGCGACTTCACCCAGCAGCTGAGCACACGAACACGAAAGTAGGGTGGGCCTGACCGTTCCTCAGCAGCGACCTTTCGGAGTTTGCTACTGAACTCTGATGGAACTTTTCTACTGCAGCCCCCTGTGAACGTCCTTGAAAACCTCTTACAGTACATCCCCTACATCCCAAACCCAAGCCCCGAAACCCAAACCCGAAACGGCATATCTCGAGGCAAGGAAGAGTTGGCCAAGCAGGCCAGAGAGGCCCAGGAGAAGGCAGGATGGACCCGACAGATTGAAGATTCTCTAGGCCACCAGACGATGTTCCCTAAACCTTGCACCCTTAAAAGGAGCTCGCGCTTGAATTGATGTATTGTCGACCTCTGTGCAGATGCTTCCGGATCGTTTTTGGCAGCAATGTCAAAAGCCTCCAATCAGCACAGTGTTCAAACAAAGCCCTGAGCATTGACCCCTCGCCAACCCTTCAACCCCCCCAAAGCCTAAAGCTGCAAACCCTCAACCTGCAAAGCCGACATTCCAAAGCAACCCTCAAGCGAAGCGCTGAAGCTTGAAGCCCTACGCCCGGTAAAGCTGAGAAGCCTTGAAGTCTCAGATCCTGGAACAGCTCCGGAAAGCCCCACTGGCGAGAGGCCACCGAACTACTGAAGGAGCTGGCAGCCAAGGCTTGCCCACCCGATCTCGCTTCGGTGTTTGGCGAGTTTTGATATTTGGGTTCTTCGGCTTGGGGTGTTTTTTTTTGTGTTTTGTTGCTTTGTGCGTTTAAGGCCTAGTCTATGTAACTGTTTAGGAATTGGTTTGAGAGTTTCCAGGCATTCTTGGGATGTGGCACTCTTGTTTTCTTTAAGTTTTGGGAGCTCATGGGTGATTAAGCGTCTTATGATGAAACAGAGATTCAAAAGAGTTTGTGCAGGGAACCATGGAGGCTAGCGGCTTCCGATAGCTGAACAAAACTTTCCACCCGTTTCCCATATGTTGGTTTGGGGGTTTGTGGCGTGTTTAGCTTAAGTTTTTGTGTCGGCGTCCTTGCTTTCGGGATTTTTGGGGGTTTTCCTGGCCATATCCCC